CTATAAAAAATGATTTATATAAAATAAAATGGCCAAAGTATCCCATACTTTATAGGGGTAATTTGATTGATTCATTTTTTTTAAAATTACTATTTTATATTTTAGCCGACCTCAAATGGTTGGAAAAAAACTTTGATGTTGATGATGATTATTTAAAATTTTTATTTAATGCACCTAATCTTTTAAAATTTATGCAAAAAAAATTTCAAGTGATTTGAATTTATTTTAAAAAATCTTAAATATAAAATATGCTTGGCCACCCAATTGATCCAAATTGCATCTGAACCATTGGGTACAATGACGCCTTTGTACCTAATAATAATATTTTTGAAAGAGGTGAATATATATTCGTGCCCTCAAGAAGCCGACAAATAAACATTACCGTCATGAAATGTTAATGTTTTAAACTTTTAATTCCCAAAAGAGAAAGAAAAGGAATGTAACACAATTTATGAAGCTGAAGATTTTCAACCCCATGAGAGCTTTTTTCACATTTTGGTCCCTTGGTAAAAACCCATCCTAGAAGTATTTTTAGAGCCCCAAATTTTGGGGATAACCTCCAACATCGAAAAAATACAACTAGGAAAAATTCAATCAATCTTGCAATTAACCTCCAACCTCAACCCAAAATATAGATAATTTTTTTTTCAACCAGACTTTATTAATTGGCTACAAAATTAAGTGGACTCAAATATTAAGATAAAAAATATCCAAAGTACCCCTTTGGCCAAACGGAGCAAATGGGCAATATTGCTGTATAAACATACTGTTTTAAAAGTACTTCTTAACTCCACTTAGTATGCTTCAGAAAGTCATTAGTAATGGTCTCTCTCTCAACACAAACGAACTAGACAACGTATTTCCCGTATCAGCTTTGAAAGATAAAAGATATGAAAATGCCACGAAATTAATAGTGAACATGATAATTGTACAAGAAGTACTCCTTATCAAACTAGAAAAAGCATAAAATCATTTATTTTTTGCATAAGAGGTAACTATCACTCTTGGTGATTGTAAGAGTGTCATTATTTTTTATAGTAGGAGGTAACTATCACTCTTGTCCTTTGAATTTCAAATTGAGTGTAATTAAAAGACTCAAAATTAAAAAAAGCATTTCTTGAGTTGTCACTACACCAAACCATTTGATTTCACATCCTCACAGATATTATTATTTAGATCGATAGATCATTAAAATAACATCCTAATAAGGGATTATATATTATGAGATTATTTATCTTTCTTACAAAAAGATCTCAATTATTCTTAAGCATTATACGGTTTAATATGTATCACTAAGTTCGAGAATTTTTTTTTTCCTTTTTTATTTTTTTGAAAATTTGAATGTAGGCAATGACATAATCACAATTACCTTGATTTGAAATCTAAAAGACAAGTAATTGTGATCACCTTGTGCTAAAAATAAATGGTCTCTCTCTATACTTTTCCAAGAAGTAATAGATGAAGGATTCTGATCCCATTTGCATACAAAATAAGAATAAATCAAATGTGACAATTGGCCTGACTCGAAAGTGATGTATGAAATTAACCACTATACAGAGTTTGCATAGATAAATTTAGCAAAAGTAAACAAACCTCTCTCTCTCAAAAATAAAAATAAAAAGCCAAGAGGAAAGATATTAGCAACAAATCTTGCTCTCTCTCTCACACACAAAGGTATGCATGCGTACATGCTCGGGACATAAAAGTGATGAAAACATCTAGCTCCCAAATCATAGAGTCATTTCTGAGAAGTAATTTTCCAGATTGTTCAGCTCCCATATCACCACTCTCCCATCCAGACCTGAAAACGACGGTTCATCAGATGGCGCATGAACCAAAACTAACGCATCAACAAAGAAACAACAGCTAAGTCATGGAACAAAGCAGAAATAGAGGTGTTTTCTTACCTGAAGTGCTAAAGCGTTTCACCATACTTTCGCCGTCTTTGCTTAGTGGCACAATGCAGCTAAAATTACAAAATAAGAACGGTATTATAATTCCAAGTGGAGAGAGGAGATATATGAAAAAGAGACCCGTACACAAATGGAAAGCGGAACAGGGATACAAGAAATTACTTTATATAATTTTCATGAGAACCACCTCGAACTCTTGAAGGCTCGACAGCATCAACATTTGTTACTTGTTTTGTTTGGCCATAGAGTTTCCCAAAGGCTTCAGAGAACTGATCCAGAAAAATGAAAACAGCTCCAATTAGAAAAATCAACACAAAATAAAACAAACCTTAAATCTTATGATTATGGAGCCATGTCTTGATTATTCAAAAGGAAAAAAAGTTGGAGTGAACTCTAGCTCCACCAGATTGAAACAATATGGTGGCAGGGACAAAAACATTCCAGAAGTTTTAAAAATAGAAATATTAAGCACTCATAAAATATCATCATCAGCATCAGAGCTTTTTCCCAACTTATAAAATATGGGTTGCAGTTGGCATACAGATGCATCCGTAGCTACAGAGATAAGGTGCACTTTCAAATTTTATCATGGTATATAATTTTGATGTAAAATGTTCTTAGGATTATCTCAAAATCTATTTTTATATCTAATTATAAAATTTTAAATTTTAAAAATGGTTAAAATCAAGTAGATCTATAAACATATAAAATCTTGAAAATGGACGGTGTAGATAATATGTTGTAAAATGCACTATTTCTCAAACTTGAAATCTTTTTATTTTTCATGGTCATACATCTCGATGTCGAGATTATCAATCAAAGGGTTTTTAACATTAAAACTCCCTTTTCCGATGGATTTTTGAGGTGCATCCGTAGTTCTACATTATAAGGTTGCATCCTTATATAAAATTTGTCCTAAAATATGATACCCATAAATAAACCCATAAATAAATTATTATGTAGGAACTCTAATGAAGTAATCATATAAAAATCCCAAAAACCATGTTATTTTAACTTTGAATTATCGCACAAATATTGAAGTGTAGGTTTTTACTTGACATGTTATGAAACTTCTCAACCGACAACTGAACCGCACTTTCGTACTCATTTGAACCGGTTGGTTCCTAAACAAACAAGCTGGTTAGTTCCCAACTTGTTTCACTGAAATGTGAGGAAAGTGTGAAACAAACAATGTCTCTGCCATTTGGAAGAAGGATCTCTTCTTCATGGTCTAGAAGATTTCCTACGCTTGTTCCCGAGACCAGTGATCATCATTAACATTACGAATTCTACCTTCAATTTTCTGTGTAGGCCAAAGGAAGCTTTCTTCATAGAGACATCTTGTTTGTGTTGTGAGCAAGCACAACGTACCAATGGTTTGAAGCAGAAACTGTCACTTACGGCAAGCATAGATTACCCAATTATCTGGAGCACAAAATACCACTTGCTGGTACATTACCCACTAAGGTGAACTCTAGAAATAACAACTTCCCTCTAGAGAGAATCTTGACATTAAAGAGAGAAGGAAATATTATTATTTTATTTCTTCACTGTTTCAAGTATAAAAAGAAGTGGATGTCAGCCCTTTTTCTAGTGTGAGGAGATGGGTCTCCTCATCCCACTCTTTAAATGAGTGGCAAACCAACAAAATTCAACCCAAAAAAAAAAAAAAAACCTACAAGTTGTAGAAAAAAAAAAAAAAAAAAAGTTTTTAGTTTAGGAAAGATGTATAGAGAAATTAAATCAAATTATCCTAAGCAGCACCACCTCAACCAAAATCAAGTGGCAGTTTGGATGTACCCAGATTTGGAATATTTTTGGATTGTAATCCAAAAATCTTGTGAAACGGACTTTGAACCGTTTGGACAACAAAAAATTTTTGCTCGATTTTTAGATTGAAAGAAAAAATAATACCGTGTCAAGGCAAACATTACCGTCCAAAATAATTAAAGTAACTTGAATTTTTTTGGATGAAAGTGTGGCCTTCTCTCTTTCTTCCACTCACTCTCTCAAAACATCGAAGAAGCCCGGTGCTTCTCTTTCTCTCTCTCTCATACCACGGAAGGAGATTTGTACTTCTCTCTCAACTCTCTTCTGCCAGTGAAGTAAGTTTGATACTTCTCTTTCTTTGGTCCCTCTCTCTCTCTCTCTCTCTCCTTCCCTATCTTCTCTGGTTGTACCATGACTAAACTGAATGGGAGATGATCTATACACTGTAATTTCTCACTGGATTCTCTGGTTTTTCTGGCACGGAAATTGTAGTGTAGGACAATACTCTACAGTAGTGACCCCTGTAAATGTTTCTGTTACAATGCTGGAATCATACTCTTTTATGGTGAGACCTACCTGACCCCGGCCATCCCTGAGTCCTCAATAGGTGACATGAAAACAAACTTTCAGATCAAGATAACTTTCAAATAGCTGCTTCAGATCTGGACTCCATGCCACCGATGAATGTCCCACACTCTGTGTTTCCCAGAGTGGAAGGGTGGGTGCATGCTTTGATGAAGATGAATATGATACACAGTAGATAATTCTATTTCCACATAACCTAACGAGTGGAAAACCTAATTTAAGAGAAGGAGAAAATCCCTAATTTTGAAAATAGATTTTGGAAAGGGTGTGAATATCAAATTTTGGAGAGAGACAAACCCATTTGCAGAAGTGGGAAGAACCCAATTTCACCATAGCAACACCTTATTTAGAGAGAGAAGAGAGACGCCATTTCCAGAATTGGGGAAGAGAACCCAATTTTTTTGATGAAGTTAACATTGTATTAAAGAGAAGGAAGTACAAATAGTGATAAGGGAGGACACACGGGTTGGTCCTCTCAGAGGGGAGCTAGTAACACCTCTGTGAATAGGTGTAGTACAAAGAGTACTCTAGAAACAACTAACCGCAACTTTAGCATCGATGGATTGCGGTCATTTTGCAAGGGCTTTGGAGTCAAAGTGCCATGCCAGGTATTACATTAAAAAGTATGACAAAACTGGCTTGAAGAAAAGCGAGTAGGAAAGTCTTTCGGGCTTAGGTAGTAGCTACAACTTGCAAATTGGCTCCCTCCTTAGCTAGACGGTCTGCCAGTGCGTTCGATTTCCGCCAGATATGCGTCCATGAGACGGGAATATCCCCGTAGAGGTAGGAAATCTCGTCAAAAATCGTGGAGAGGTACCAAGGAGGGGACACATGACCCGCTGCCCAAGAAACTACATTGTGTGCATCCCGTTTCACCAGAAGTGGAAGAGAACCCAATTTCGCAGAGCAGAGAGAACGCCAATTTAAAAATTGGTCAAGAGAACCGAATTTCAAGCAACAACCCCAAGAATGAATTCAAATGGAGGTTGAAGGAGATTAGAGCAACACACTGGGAAATATAGAGTGAGATGGAAAACAATCTAGTGAGAGAAAGTTAACTGATAACAAACATGACGAGGCCTTTCAGTTAATGGAAGGTCGAGAAGAAGACAAGTTCTGTCAACGTGTTCAACTCATGGATACACCGGAGGACCAATCCATGAGGGCTAAAATAAAATATTCATGTAACACCCAAACGACTTAATAAGAATAGAAAAAAAAAAGTTTTGTATCTTTTTCAATTGGTATTTAAAAAATTCGTAATTTTTTTGAATAACAAATTCCCTTTATTTGACATCCAAACTGGCTCTAAAGCAGCAGCAATTAACGCCGATCCTGCCAGCTCATCCGCTTCATCGTCATTCTGGAATCAGTGTTGACCCCATACTCCCCATCAGCACTGGTTCTCTACTCATCACATTGATTATTTGTTTTAATAAGTTAACTTTGTATTGGAATGGAAAGAGTACAAGTGTGCCAATAGGCACTGGGAAAGGGTAACCTGTAAAAAAACCCATTCAGGGGCCCAAAAAATGCTCTACAAGAAGAGATGACAGTGAATATACAAATTAGGTACAAAAAATGGGGCAAGATGTTCGATGAGTTGCCGCGTTCACCTAGTTGGAATTGAGAGCTGCTCCCTCTCTGGCGCGCTTATCAGCTGCCGTCTTGGCTTCCCTCAAGATATGTCTCCATGAGACTCAGAAATTTCTAGTGAGGTGTGCTATTTTGTCGAAAATGTTGTCTAAGTCTCCAGGGATAAGGTGCCATGCCGGAGCCCCAAGTTATGATATTCTGGAGTCCCCTTCCACTAAACAGCTCCAAGCTCCAGCTAGGGTTGCATTAGTGAAGGCTCTCTAAGAGGGCAAAAGCCTTAGCAGTGGTGGAATCCGCAAAACCAATGGGAAGGGAAAAGGAGAGAAGGACGTTGCCGTCGCATGATCTAAAAATGCCTCCAATCCCAGAAGGGCCAGGGTTTGCCATGGGAGCAACCATCAAAATTTAGTTTAGGTTTAGCCTGGCTCAGGTGGTCTCCATAAGGAGGCCCTAGAAATCCTAGTGGGTCGCAGGTTGAGGAGCTCCTGCCAGTTATGGAAGAAGTCTGAGTAGGGGGAGAATTTGAAAAGAGGATGGTTATTGGCCCAGAAAGTGACCAAAGTCCCAACTCTAGCAATCATTTTGTTGGCTGAGGCTCTCTCGCCCCTGAAGACTCTGAGTTCCTCCTGAGCCAAATGACCCAAAGGATGGCAGCAAGCGATGCCCTCCAGAGAAGAGTGCCTGACTAGGGCCACGAGGTACGATGAAGGTACGAGAAAAGGTGGGGTACCGAGCTAAGTAACCCAAACCCAATTAAAGAGTTGGAGCAAGTCACTCCAAAGGGCCTTGGCAACTGGCCACAGGATGAAGAGATGGGCCTTTGTTTCCTCGTCCTCCAAGCACATAGCAGAGTTATTGGGTAAAGGGGAGGCCCCTACGCTGGATTTGATCACTCATCACACCAAATTGTTCACAAAATTTGAAAAACTTTGTAAAGATTTGATCACTCATCACATTGAATTGTTCACAAAATTTGAAAAACTTTGTAAAGGACAAACCCTTGGTAAGCGTGTATTGCGGTCTCTACCACTTCAACATCACAGGTAAAAGGGCTGATACATCCACATCTTTCTTGTATGATGTGGTGCTCCACTTTTAAGTGTTTCATCCTCACATGTGACACAAGGTTCTATGCCAATCGAATGTAGCTCTAATTGTTGCATGCAGCCCAATCTGTCTTGCTTCATGTCCTCCGTCAATTGCATAAGCCATACGCAACCCTGAGCTGCCATTTACATTGTTCTGTACTCAACCTTTGTTCTTGACAAAGAAACAATTGGTTCTCTCATATTGTACCAAGAAACCACTTCCAAATTCA